TGTGCTCCTTGGGGGTGATGGCCACTCTCTCTAGTGGTGTGTGTTGAAGAAGCACTGAAGGCTTGACCCTCGTGTGTGTCCCTCAAGGCATATTTAAGGTGAGGGACACAGATAAGCCTCAGACACTACAAAGCCAGTGCTGACCATCTATCCCTGTTTGCTGCCACTTCACCACGAGACTCTCCTGACTGAGGTTTCACACTTAAGCTGCTGGGAAGCAACAGCACCCGCAGACCGTGTTGCTGGACCACCAGTCTGGGGGCTGGAAATGGACGTTTGTTAGAGTGATTGTCAGAGTATGGTTGGTCAACCTGCAACTCTTTTCATCAGCTGGGCCCCACAGTAGGGTTGTTATTCTTCCCTCTCTCCCTACCCCCCAGATGTCCTCCACCCCAGGCTCCAGCCCCCTCCCAAACCCAGCTCTGCCTTGTGCCAACCCCCTCCATCCATCCCTGGCATCCTTCACACTCTTCAGGGATTTCTCACAGATTTTTTAAAAACTTGTTCTGCAAATTTATATTTTCCTTTTTTTACTAGTGCTTTCCGGGTTTATTTAGGAAGAGAGACATTCAACAGCCTATGACAGTCTGCCGTATAAAAAAGTTTTGACATGATAAAATGCTATGCAAATACAAATTATGATAACTAAGACAAATACTCAGTAATTATCTAGCAATAAAGTTCTGAGAGCTCAAAAAAAAAGAAAAGAAAAGAAAAGGAAATCACACAAGTGGGATATTTTTGTGACATATTATTTGTTATTGACATAAAACAACTGTGAGAACAGAATTATTTTTCCAACTGTTTAAATGTCTGTAATGATAAGGGGTTGACAGTAGGTGCCACAGCAGGGATGACACACGACACACGGGTTTGCTCACTGAGAATCACGGGCCACTGGACCACCTCTACACGAGGTCTCCCACGCCACTACTGAATCTCCACTTGAGACTTCACATCATCTTGCTAAGTTTGTTCCCTGCGTAATGTAATATACACAAGGGAACACCTGGAATGGCGAAATGAGAAAGAGCAAAACACCAGTGCTCATTGTTTCTCTTCTGAGAAATTTCATCAGACTCCATGCCCTTTCCCCTACTTTGCTCAGGACTTCTCACCTACTTAGATAGGAATCTATATACACCGCCCGCAGGGTTCAGTATTCCTTCCTCACCAAACTCTGGAGGCTTTGGAATCAAATGTCTGAATATCACCCCAGGCAATCACAAAAGGCAAGACCTGGCAAATAAGAGATTGGGCTAACCAACAATAGAATCACAAACAGCTTTGGCTCTTCCCCTTCCACAGCAGAATCCACATGTAGATGCAGTAAAAGAGCCCTAGATTTGGAGCTACAGCAGTGATATCCACTCCCAGCCATTGTTACTTACTAATCACATACCCACAAGCCAGGTCATTTAGTCTCTCAAAGCCTCAATTTCCATATCTTCCGAATGGAGCTAATAATTCAGGTAAAGTCCATAGAACTGTTGGGAGTACATATTGCATGTGAGAGCACCTGAAAACTGATAAAGCACTAGACAGACATGCTTGTACTGTATTTGTATTATTGGATAAACAGGGTGCATTTCCAAAAACACAAAGACTTCTTTTTACGTCTAGACTTTCCATAGAAATAGCTTACTTACCCAATTTTGATGCCTAGAATTCTGAAAGCTCTTTTCCTTTAGGTTGAGGTATAATGTACAAATTTGTGTGGGAGGGAATCGCTTCAGTATATCTATCATGGAAACCTTAGGTAAATGCATTTTCAGAGCATTTGTTGAAAGGAGAACTGTGGGTTTCTGTTGTAGGAGAAATGCAGACTTTACATGGGCTAAAAGGGGCAAATCTGAGTGCCTGAGAACCTTGTTTATAATTTTGCTCTTCTAAAACAGCTCTCTTGGCAGAATTGCTTAAAAAACAAACATTGCTTTTGCAAGACCTCACCCTAGGTGTCTAAACCTTTTTAATCCCTAATTATCAATTTCTCTGATTCTTAGTGTTTAGCACCTAACACACATTTCTGATGACTCCTACCTTATATTAATGCTCCAGGTGAAAAATTGCATTCTTGGAGTTGAAGGATCCCAAAAATCTCAAAGGAAAAGCAAAAATGTCTGTCTTTAATTAAGAAGTATCAAAATGTGGGTTTATTTAAGTGTTTGGAAAGTAGTGGTGTCTTTAGTCACAAATGTTGTGATCTCCCTTCAACACTTTGGGCACTTAACAGAAAAACCAACTGATGGATTTTGGACGTGACTGGCACCATTATGCACACAATGAGCGCAAAATAGCCAACGGCCTCGTCTTCCACTCCAGCACAAAGCCCCTTCCCCATTCCCTTTACAAGAAGCCTCCAGACATAAACAGAACCTCCTTCTGCTTCCGCAAGGACACAGTTCTCCACCCCGATCCATGCACACAATGAGCGCAAAATAGCCAACGGCCTCGTCTTCCACTCCAGCACAAAGCCCCTTCCCCATTCCCTTTACGAGAAACCTCCAGACATAAACAGAACCTCCTTCTGCTTCCGCAAGGACACAGTTCTCCACCCCGATCCACATTAGCGTAATGACCCTCCTTGATGGTATCAGCCAGCCCTTGGCACACTATATAAGCTCTACCACCCCCATACCTGGTGCTGTCCCCCATTTTCAGGGCAGCCCTGAGCTGTGCTCCATTTTGAGTGTAGCCCAGCAAATTTCTTTCTTTAATAAAGCTTGAATGGTATCCGGCATCTAGGCTCACTTTCTTTCACCAACTAGTTGACTGTACTTGAGTACAATTACTTGACCAAGTCAACTAAATTTCCTTCACTGTGAAAACTACCACGTGGTGGTGGTTTACTATTATATTCCCCAATTTATACTTTACATAATTCATTTCTAGTATTTCCTCAATCTACAAGTTTCCCTTATTCCAGAGGAACAACTTAATGTTATGTTGAACCACATGAAATTGCCACTTTTTTAGGTTAGAAATGGTTCACAATTGACTCCGATTATGTGTAGAGCCAGCCACTTGGAATTTAAGCTCATATCCACCACTTATTAGGTCTAAAACCATAGTTAGTTATATAATCTTCCTAAACTTCAGTTTTTCTTGTCTGTAAAATAGATAGGCATAACAACAGTACCAACTTCAAACAGTTGTGAGCATTAAATGAGGTAATGCACACAAAATGCTTGGCACAGTGCCTGGCACACTGCAATTGCTTAGCATATGCCAGTTTAAAAGAGAAAAAGGAATAAAGCTGATCCATCTATCAGTACTCCCAGTGCTTATCATGGTTTTTAATCTGTTATATATGCTAAATAAAGTTTGTATTAGATTAGATGTTTCTGGTCTTCAATTTTATCAGACAGATCCATTATGTGTTCATAATCCATTATGTGTGAACATTTGTGTAAGAGCCTAATGTTCCTGTTTTATTCCACCCATTTTCTTAGTAAAGTAGGGAGTATAGGGACTACCTGGATCAGCAAGAGAAGCAGCTTTGAGGATGGGCCAGTGATTTGGAGGAAAACTGCATGACTGTCAGGTCTTATAGGCTAAGTGAAAAAAGTGCTTTGAGAGGGAAGGAGAGAAACCTTGCCATTTGCTCCTGAGAGGTCTAGTAAACTGGACGTTCAGGACCAACCTTTGGATTTAGCAATAAGGAAATCACTGGGGACTTTTTTTCCTTTAATTTTTATTTTTATTGTAATGTAGTTGATTGCACATATCTGTGGGTTACAGAGTTGAATATCAATAAGTGTGAAACATGTGATGCTTAAATCAGAATATTATATATTCAACAATATACAATGTCATCACTTTCTGTGGCTCTTTACCAATTCTTCCCTTTCTCCTGCTTCCCCTCTCCCACCTTTAGTAACTTCAGCTCTCCGTTTGAAAGTTCAACATATTATTGTGACTGTTGTCTCTTTCTTTCTTTCTTTTATTTATATGTTTATTTTTTAGCTCCCACTTATGAGTGAGGATGTACAGTATTTCTCTTTCTGTGCCTGGCTTATTGCACTTAACATGATTTTCTCCAAGTTCATCCATCTTGCTGCAAATGGCAATATTTCATTCTTTTTCGTGGGCAGGGTAGTATTCCATTGTGTATACATTTTCATTATCCAGTCATCTGACAGTGGAGATTTAGGTTGGTTCCAACTCTTAGCTGTTGTAAATAGAGCTGCAATAAAAATGGGGGTGCAGGTATCCCTTCAACATGATGCTTTCCATTCCTTTGCGTATATTTCTAGAAGTGGAATTAATGGATCATATGGCAGTTCTATCTGAAGTTGTTTGAGGAAACTCCATACTGTTTTCCATTTGGCTGCACCAATTTACAGTCCCACCAAAAGTGTAACAGCATTCCCCTTTCTACACATCTCCATCAGCATTTGTTGTTCTCCATCTTTTTAATAACAGTCTAACTAGGGTGAGATGATATGTTGTTTTGATTTGCATTTCCCTGATGCTGAGTGATGTTGAGCATTTTTTTCATGTGTCTGTTGGCCATTTGTATATCTTCCTTTGAGAAATACCTATTCAGCTCCTTTGCCCATTTTTTAACTGGGTTATTTATTTTTTTACTAAGTTGTTTGAGTTTCTTGTATATTCTGGATATTAATCCTTTGTCAGATGCATAGTTTGTAAATATTTTTCCCCACTCTGTAGGTTGTCTTTTCACTCTGTTAATTATTTCTTTTGCTGTGCAGAAGCTTTGCAGCTTGATATAATCCCATTTGTTTATTTTTCCTTGTGTTGCCCGTGCTTTTGGGGTAATATTCTTAAAGTCTTTGCCCAGTCTTACTTCCTGAAGAGGAAATCACTGGTGGCCTCGATAAGAAGATTTCAATGGAGTGCTGAAGACAAAAGCCTAAATGGTCAATTAAGGACAGATGAGAAGTAAGGATGTAAAACACTGAGAATAGACATTTTAAAATTATTTTACTATAGAAGGATTTGGTGATACACTCAGTAAGACATAATCTCAGGGCTCTATAAAGCCCAACCTGGCAACATTGGGCATTTCTCCCAAGGGCTGTGAACTGCTGGCTTTCTGTTTGCTCCTGGGAAGATGCAGCGGCTGTTGAGTCCAGTGAAACGAGTGCTGCAAGTGGGAAGAGTGATGCAGGAAGCTTCCTTCACGCCTGCTTGCCTGCTCCCAGCAGCCCACCAAAGGTGAGTTGCATTGTTCCAGGATCTGTGCAGGTCATGCTTTGAGAAGCATCATAGAACCAGAGGGCCTGCTGCAGGGAAAATCTCACTGGAATCCCGCTCAAAAATTGGCAAGGCTTATGTGCGGCCTTAGGCAGGCTAATTAACTTCTCAGGGTTTCAGTTACCTTATCTCTAAACAGACATTCCCTTTTGGATTTAGAATTGGAGATCCCAAAGGTCTGACACATGTTGTGTTTGTGAACAACGGCATCTTTTACTCCTCCAGCTGCACAAAGCAGTAGAAATATCAGTACCAGGGCCTGCAGCTCTCTCCTCACCTTTACCCCCAGCCCCTGCCGACACCCTCAGGATTCTGTGCCAAAGATCTGATATAAAACGATGAAAAGAAGCTGTGTTTCCCCTGTGCTCCCATTTTATGAAAGAGGGAAATGAAATGTAAAGATAAGAATGTGTGTGTGCATGTGCAAGAAGAACACACGCTCCTTTTCTCTGTAAACACCCCCTCATGTGGTCCACGTGCTCGCAGTCTCCCCGTGGTGATGGTAACACAGCTATTGTTAGTGCCTTGGGCTCCCAGCCTCCTGTGTGTCAGTGTCCAGTCCCTAAACCATCCACTACAGCTAAAGACTAGCCCTTTCTTTCCTTCCAGTTTCACTCTGCATTCTATGAATACTGAAGACTTAGAGAGACAGGTTTGTTTTGTTTTTTTTTAAAAAAAGATGACCAGCAAGGGGATCTTAACCCTTGACTTGGTGCAGTCAGCACCACGCTCTCCCCCGTGGCCTTGGTGTTATCAGCACCACACTCTCCCAAGTGAGCCATGGGCCGGCCCTTAGAGAGATAGTTTTGATCTAGTGTCTTCCCTTGCCTGGTTCCCAGGGAGACTGGGTGTATAAATGTGGGGGTAGGGGTGATACTTACTAGCTTAAATTTCTTCATAACTCTACCATCGTCTACAGTCTCCCCATACCCTGCCAAACTGATGCGTACAGGTCAAATGTTCCAGCTTGGAGTTTAGTCCATTTCTGTATTTGTAAGGAAGGGATTGACGTGGGTTTGTTTGTTTCAATAAGCAACAGCTGGCAAGCAGCCAAGAGACAAACTTCAGTCCTCACCAGCATTCTGACTTCTTTGGCTCAAACTCTTGGAATCATCATTCACATTTCCCTTTGGGTGTACTCACAGCTGATTCCACTATGCGTGGCTGAAATGATGTTAAGAATGCTCTTTATGGGTCACCTTTTCTCTGTATACCTATCCCCTCTAATCCAAACTGTGTCAGCTCTCAGCCCAACCTAGGAGCTACTCCCAGCTGGGCATCTGCTTTGCTGCCTCTAAAATTAAGTAAGAATCATGCCGTCCACTTTCTATTTTTCTCACACATTGTCTTCCTGCTCCCCTACACACCTTCTTCCCCAGGTTCCCTAGCCTGTTCAATAACCCCCACCGCGGCCACTGCCCCTTCATCCCCCTCCAATTCTTTATCAGAAGCTCCCTCGTCCAACAAGTCTGGTCTCAAATGCAGCCTCTTCCATGAAGCCTTTCCTGATCCCCCACCCGTGGAAATCTGTGCTTCCTTTGAACTCCTGTGGGAGTTTGCCCATATCCCTCCTGTGGCCCTTATCACATTCTGCCTTGCAGTGGGGTTATGGAAGTGCTTATCTCATTCCTCCCACTGGTCAAGGCAGTTCTCAAGAACCTTGCTCTCTTTTCTTTGTCCAACCCCTTCACCCCACAGTCCCTCCCCAGCACAGAGCCTGGAATGTAATAGTCAATGTGAAACACAGGGAAGGAAGCAAGATGAAGTAAAGAAATAAAGCTTGGCGCATGTTCTTGAGCAAGGCAACACCAGAACAAAACTGATTTTAAATTAAATAAAGTCGTTTTATAGATATCACCATCTATAAAATGAGCAATGTCATGAAAGTGACCAGATTTTAGGTACTTTCATATGGGAGCATGTGGGAGGCAGTCTTGGTGAGCTCTGTACTTGTAGGTAGAAGGAGAAACTCCAGATTTCACTAGGAGTACTAAGAGTCAGGGTTCAAGAGAAGTGGACAGGTCCAGAAAAGAAATAGAGAAAACACAGGATTAGAAGAATGTTCTTAACTACAGTGGTCTGATGCTTCTGAAAGTCTCTACAAGCTAACTTTCTTCAAGGCTCTGGAATCTGTTTCCCAAAATAGCCCACTACCCAGACATTTACCAAGCGACTGGCTCTTGGAACCTCTCCTTGCAACCTTAGATTTCAAACTGGGAAGAGAGGGAGGGAGTCAGCCTAAAGAAGGCAGAGAGAAAATTAGGCTGTGGGGAAAGCCAGCCAAGCTGGCAAGACCATGTGCTAGCTAACTATTAGCTCCTAGATACTGGGGAAGCTTCTCTATAAATATTTGACAGTACAAACTCCAGTTATTTGGAGGGCACCAAATAAATAGGGCAGATAAACAAACTCCAAAACTCTCTTCTAAGATACTGATAACAATCACTTTGCCTCACTTTTCTGTAATCACACGATCCACTTTTGCCTCACACAGTCTTTAAAGATGACCTTCCTGATGGGAGAAATGGGGCTACCAGAAGCCCAGAATCCTGAAGATGATTGATAGATACATTCAATCTGAGTCATAGCTCCTGTGGCATGGAACTAAATTTATAAGCCTGACACTCAAGGCAGTGAAGAAACAATATTTCTAACACATGAAAAATGATGAAGTTGCTCTGAGTACATCACTTCACAAGCACGTGCCTTGATTTCACCATCTATAAAATGAAGAATGTCATGAAAGTGACCAGATTTTAGGTACTTTCATATGAGAGCATGTGGGAGGTGGACTTGATGAGCTCTGTACTTGTAGATAGAAGGAGAAACTCCAGATTTTCACCAGAGGTATAAGGGTCAGGGTTCAAGAGAACTGGATGGGTCCAGAAAAGAAGCAGATGATCTTTTTCCTCGTCTACTGACCCCTCCCCCACTTACTTTCTCTTTGCCCCCATGTAGAATTGCTCTCTCTGCCCTCTGTGTTCCACAGGTTTGCTTCTTCTACTATGTATTCAGCTGTAAAAACGTCTGCCTTCTCCATTAGGCTGTGCCCTCTTTGTTGGCACAAAACGTGCCTTGTGTACTGTTGGATTTCTGGGTCAGCTCTGTGTTGGGTGGGCTCATTTAATACTGGGAGGCCCAATCAGAAAAAGCAGATAGGACGGAATCAAGCAGAAAACTTCCTTAAAAAGTAAAGAAAAAAAAAAAAAAAAGAAGGAAAAAGAAAGAAGGAGGCTAATGGGTACACTTTCAAACTGAGTGAAATCTTAAAAATTATGCCCTATAAGGGTTAATAACATATGAGGGTACTTCAAAAAGTTCATGGAAACATGGAATTAAAAGATAATATGAATCTTTCCATAAATTTTTTGACATACCCTCATATATAGAAGTAAAGTACATGACAATAATAGCTCAAAGAGATGCAGGGGAGTAAATGCAGTTAACGTAAAGTAAGGTTTTGCACTGTTCAGAAAGTAATAGAAGTATTAATTCAAGTTAGACTACAATAAGACAAGTATGCACATTGTAATCTCTAGAGTAACCTCTAAAAGAAAAAGAGGGGATAAAATGGAATAGTAAATATTTGCTTAATCAAAAACAATATAGGAACCGAGGAATAAAGGAACAAAGAACATATGAGACAAACAGAAACAAACAGCGAGATGATAGACTTAATTCCAACTACATCAGTAATTACAATAAATATAAAGGACTAAATACTCCAACTAAAACATTGCTATTGTAAGACTTGCTAAAAGTTTTTAAAAGGCTCAACTATATACTATTTACAATAGACACATGTTAAATATAAAGACTTTGAGAGGTTAAAAGTATAAAAGGACAGAAGAAGATATACCGCACAAACAGTAATCGGGAAAAGTAGACTTTATGGCAAGAGTGATACAAAGATAAAAAGAGATGTTTAATAAGAATAAAAGGGTCAATTCAACAGAAAGATATAACAACAGTAAATTTGTAGTCATCTGATAACATAGCTTCAAAATATATAAAAAATGAATTAAATGTTTGTTGCATTACTGTCTTTTGAGGAAACTAACTACAAACCATTAGTGGGATCATAATTGTTATCTCCATCACAGGTTTTCTACAGTCTGTGCTGTTCCCCTGGCCAAAACAGATACTTGGCCAAAAGATGTGGGCATCCTTGCCATGGAGGTCTACTTCCCAGCTCAATATGTGGACCAAACTGACCTGGAGAAGTATAACAATGTGGAAGCAGGGAAGTACACAGAGGGCTTGGGCCAAACCCATATGGGCTTCTGCTCGGTCCAGGAGGACATCAACTCCCTGTGCCTGACAGTGGTGCAAAAGCTAATGGAGCGCACACAGCTCCCATGGGACTCCGTGGGCCGGCTGGAAGTGGGCACTGAGACCATCATTGACAAGTCCAAGGCTGTCAAAACAGTGCTCATGGAACTCTTTCAGGATTCAGGCAACACTGACATCGAGGGCATAGATACCACCAATGCCTGCTATGGTGGCACTGCCTCCCTCTTCAATGCTGCCAACTGGATGGAGTCCAGCTCCTGGGATGGTACGTGCTGCCAGGGGCCTTATGTAAGAAAGGAGCCGGAGTTGGAGGTGAATTCTATTAGTTTTGTTTCTCCGTTCCCCAGGTGGCTTCCTCCAGGGAGAGAAGGCCAACTTATTTACATAGCTGTTGCTATTATCCAACAAACACAGTGATAGTAAACATTTAGACTTGTATAGCTTTACACAGTTATTTATGTAGCATGTTCACATAGTCATTCATTTAGTCCTTGCAATGACTAGGAAATGGGCATTGTACCTAATTTATAGATGAGAAAATGGAAGATCTGATATCTTACACGTAATGAGTGGCAGAGACAAGACACCAAACCAAATCCAATACATTTCCTATTTTACTGTATGTTTCTCTTAAACATCTCCTAAGTCTCTGAGAGACACACTGGCAATGTTGAAAGATTTATACAAGTTTAGATGTTATAGGGAAAACAGCCTGGTAGAAACAGGCAGAGAGAAACACAGGATAGACTATTACAGAGTTTTTCTAGTCTTTATCCCTTGCTTGGCTCCTAGGAGGTTTCTTTTTATTTAATGTATTAACATTACTTTGTACATTACTCATGTCTTTCCTCAGTGCTGTATTGTAGGAATAACCCCCGTTGTGATGGCAAGAAAAGGCTCGAGGGAAGAAGTACAAGATGAGATTTAGAAACCCTAGCTCTGTCAATAATTGTTGACATGTCCCTTAACCTCTTTGAGCTTCAGGTTTATTTGCCTGGCTGCCTGTGTGGCTGGCAAGAGGACTGAAGTTGTGATGGCAAGAAAAGGTTCGAGGGAAGAAGTACAAGATGAGATTTAGAAACCCTAGCTCTGTCAATAATTGTTGACATGTCCCTAACCTCTTTGAGCTTCAGGTTTATTTGCCTGGCTGCCTGTGTGGCTGGCAAGAGGACTGAATAAAAGAATCCACAGAGATGTGGAACAGCAGTACCTTGGCAGTCAAGGCACTCTATACTTACGAAGTTTGAAGCTAGGATTAAAAACCTTAGAAATCATAACAAACAATTATAAAAATAATTACAAAGTCTTAATGTTGACGGGGACCTTAGAGATTATTTAGTACAATGTCTTTTGCTTTTAAAAAGAGGCCGAGAGGCATTTAACAGTGTTCTCTGTTCATGCAGCAAGACGGCGCAATCCCAATAGTGGTTTTTCAACTGCCCTGTATGACCTCACAGTTAAGGGTTCCATTGATACGACATGTTCCACTCATTCCACGCATGTCATCAAATGTCATCAATGTGATGACATTCTGTCATCAAATGTCTTCTAACAGTGTTTCTCCTGCTTGGTACTTGTATTACTTCCTTTTTAGCAATCCCTATCTCCATTACCACCACCAATACATTCAACCAATGGTAGTGATGGTACATCTTTCTTGTCTCTCTTTACAGGTCGCTATGCAATGGTGGTCTGTGGTGACATTGCAGTCTATCCCAATGGTAATGCACGTCCCACAGGTGGGGCTGGAGCTGTGGCAATGCTGGTTGGGCCCAAGGCCCCTCTGGTCCTGGAACGAGGTTTGTAGTCAACCGTTACCAAGAGGCTGTGCGTGGCATAGCCAAATACATAGCTCCTAATCCAAATTGGCATACCCACTGCTTACTCAGGGCTGAGGTAGGGGGTTGCGATGGTATCGCTTGCCTCCTAAAGGCTGGTCTGGGGAGCAGAGGGTAGGGAAGAAGGGAAGAGGAAAGTCAGGTCTCCTCTCCTGCATCATCGCGCACTGGAATAATAATGCATGGAATGAGCGGCACAGGTATTGATGCGGAGCCCTAGGAAACTAAAGTGGCAATTCAAGATGAAGAAAGATACCTGGGTAAAAAGTGAAAGTCTTTCCTTTGAGGGTTTTGTCTTCTATTTCAGGTTTTGCTAAGCCCACATAAGTGCATAAAGGGAAATATAATTCTCACCTATGTAATACCAAAACTCTATACAACTCCTTTTGACTATGTGAGAGATGTGGAGTTGGGCTTGGGCTTGGACACAGATACAAACCAGGAAGCTCTTTCTCCATGGTTCTCCCATCCCTTCTGCTTGAGGTGGGCTGCTTGCGTAGTCCCTGAAACCCTCTGTGTGCCTTTCCAGGGCTTAGGAGTACCCACATGGAGAACGCATATGACTTCTATAAACCAAATGTGGCTTCAGAGTACCCATTGGTGGACGGGAAGCTTTCTATCCAGTGCTACTTACGGGCCTTGGACCGATGTTACACATTATACCGCCAAAAAATCCAGAAGCAGTGGAAGCAAGGTATGGGATTCGGAGGGAAAAAAGTGGGAGCTCTATTTATTTGGGCCAAGACTTTGTAACTAAAAGCTTAAGACAAGGTCTCTAATCTCCTTCCCTGAAAAAGATATCAGGAAAATTGGTTCATGTCTCCCTCTTACACTCTTCCCTGGATCTATGCTAAAATCCATTTGCATGCCATTCAAATTCAAGTATAAAATTTCCCGTAACTTGAGCTAAATGAAATAAAGTAAACAATCCAGGGCCAGAGCCACCAGTATACAACCAGCTGGTGTCAGCCACATGGGGAGATACTGTTGTGAGGTAGGGTAACTACTACGGAGGTTGGGATTTGTTTCTGTTTAAGCCAGGCATGATTAACTCTCGGCTTATATAGTTCGCTACCTTTTAAAGTCTGGTTGATGTTGAAAAATCTTACCTACATTTCTCGTATGCTAAAGTGTTATCAGTGATTTTTTTTTCTGGATAGTGGTGTTACAAGTTGATTTTATTTCCACCTTTAGTTTCTGAATTTCTCTGCTAAAAAATGTATACAGCTTTCACAATCAAAAAAGAAGCAAATAAATATTAGGGTGGTATAAGGAGCCACTTCTTGCTCTTTTCCACTGCACTGGGCAGGACATCACCTTCCAGAGGCGATCCTATGGGTAAGGAGTCTACTGGACCTCTCTGCCTCTGCCTGTCCACTGTAAAATTGCTATTGTCTAATTACTCTCGCCTCCTCTGAATTCATATGGCATTTTAATTTTACTCCTTATGCTCACATAGAATTTGACGGATGCTGCTTTGGATCACAGCACTAAATTGTGAGTGTCCCTAAAGGCACAGGTTGCATTGTCCTCCTCTTCAGAGTGAGAGACAGTCCATAGTGTGGAGGCACAGACATCTGAGCTGAAATCCAAAGCCAGGCTTTTTCAAGTTGGGTGACCTTGGACCATAACTTAATATTCTGGAGATTCTTTTTTTTTTTTTTCCTTTTTGTCGTGACCTGCAACGGGATCGCAACCCTCGGTGTTGTGCCCGCACCTCGCTCAGCCAGTGAGCGGGAACCAGTCTGTATGTGGGATCCGAACCCTCGGCGGGAGCGCCGCCGCACTCCCAAGTGGCGCACTGTAGCAGTGCGCCACCGGGCCAGCCCATATTCTGGAGATTCTGCATCCTCCTCTGGAAAATGGAGAAAAATAATACAATGCAAGGCTGATTTGCAGAAAGCATCTGCCATAGAGGATGGCAAGAGTAGATACAAAGATGTTCATCGATTGCCCTTCTTTCCTTATACGTAGAGGCTGCTTAGTAAATGTGTGTGAAATGAATGAACAAACCTTATGTGTGTTTGCTGGAGGTGGGACTAGCTCTCTGGGAGGCCTAGGGTCCCTCAGCACAGTTGGACCTCAGAGAGTGGGTCTATATGGCTCATCTACACGCCACACCCTTGCCTTCAAATTTCCTCTTCCAGCCGGCATCGATCGACCTTTCACCCTGGACGATTTACAGTTTATGATCTTTCACACGCCCTTTTGCAAGATGGTCCAGAAATCTCTGGCTCGCCTGATGTTCAATGACTTCCTGTCAGCCAGCAGCGACACGCAAAACAGCTTATATAAGGGGCTAGAGGCTTTCAGGTGAGTCCTCTTCATAGGGAACCTAGGGGCTGGTGAGGTGTGACAAGGAGGAGGCCCCCTCACACCTTGAGTCTGGACACCAGCATTCCTGTGGGAATAAAGGGCAGTCCTCCAGCACAGCAGAAATGACACCGAGTCCTCACATGGGCGATGGGTTATTTTCTGCACAGGGCCCTCCATGTGTCATCTCCTCCAGCACAGCAGAAATGACACCGAGTCCTCACATGGGCGATGGGTTATTTTCTGCACAGGGCCCTCCATGTGTCATCTCCTCCAGCACAGCAGAAATGACACCGAGTCCTCACATGGGCGATGGGTTATTTTCTGCACAGGGCCCTCCATGTGTCATCTCCTCCAGCACAGCAGAAATGACACCGAGTCCTCACATGGGCGATGGGTTATTTTCTGCACAGGGCCCTCCATGTGTCATCTATTCTAAGTTAAGAAAGTATGCTAAACAGAATGCATGGTATGATTTTATTTCTAATTCTCTAATAAACTATACGAAAGTAGGGATGGATGCCACAAGAAAAATTTCTATCTCTGAATGGTAGGACTATTAGTGGCGTGTTTTTCTTTATGCTTTTCTGCATTTCCAAATATTGTAATAAAAACACGTGCCCGAAAGTTTTCTTTCTAGAAGCTGTTACTTTTCCCCCTTATTCCCACCTTCCTTGGCCTCTCTCTTGGCCACCTCTGACGGCCTCACAGGGGACTAAAGCTGGAAGACACCTACACCAACAAGGACGTGGATAAAGCAGCTCTAAAGGCCTCTCTGGACATGTTCAACAAGAAAACCAAGGCCTCCCTTTACCTCTCCACGCACAATGGAAACACATACACCTCCTCCCTGTATGGGTGCCTGGCCTCGCTTCTGTGTCAGTGAGTGCTGCGTCCGGCCCCCCCTCTTCCACACCCCCACGCCTTGGTCTGAGAGGCCAACCAAGCTTGGTTTTTCTCTCTGGCTCAGAATTTTAAAAGAAAGGAAGAGAGGGAGGAGGCAGGGAGGGAAGGAAGGAAGATGAAGGCAGATTTACTATCTGTATTAAACACGGGTCTCCTGACATGGATTTCAGGGCATGGGCAGGATCTATTTGGGCACAGCAAGAAAGTAGTAAAATTGTGTGCATATTTGTGTGTGTGTGTGTGTCTCATCTATTTAAATCTCTGTACTTAGTAGAACATGGTGGTTAAGAAAGTTTAGCTTTAGAGCCTACAATCTTGGCTCAGATCTCTTTACCGCTTAATTAGCTTCGACCTTGGAAAAATACTTATAACATCCATGTGCCTCATTTTCCCCATCTGTAAAATATGTGCAATAACAATATCTGCCTTCTTTTGATGAGCATTAAGTGTCTTAAACAATTAAAACAGCAATGCTTAGCAGGTGCTCAAATGTTAATTGCTATTTCTATTGATTTTTTATTTTGTGGTTTTATAAGGATTTTATTTAACATATATAACATAGGAAAAAATACTTATGGGTGGATTTGTTCAAATTATTACTGATGGGGATGATCAAAAAGTTAGGATTGCTGAACTGTTACCAGACAACAATATGCGGGCCTGGAGGGTGAGTCCAGTGGTCTGACCTCCCCTTGGAGGCACCTCCAGAATTCACTGAGCTCATCTTGTCCTCCTGAGTGGGAAGCAGTTGCCTTTGCACCCTGAAATTCTGTTGTGCTTGCTTTGCCTTATATATCTTGAATTTTAGCTACTCTCCTTTTGGCAAAGTTTCCTACTCCTGGGCCTGTCGCTGTCTACCAAAAATCCTTCTTTATGTGGAGTGCCCGGAACCCATTTTCAGTTGCATGAGGTGGACAGGGACAATGTTGGGCTGGTGGGTTGGTGCTTTATTTGAAATGCAGAATATAATACTGATGTGGTTTGGGTTTTGATTCCTTTCCCTGCAGCCATTCTGCCCAAGACCTGGCTGGCTCCAGAATTGGTGCCTTCTCTTATGGCTCTGGCTTGGCAGCAAGTTTTTTTTCATTGCGAGTGTCCCAGGATGCTTCTCCAGGTGAGTCTCATCTTTCTATCAGGTGCTCCTGACAATATTCATCTGGTAAAAGAACCACCTTCTGCCTTGCCACTACCGAGGCTGCCATCCTGACAGAATCGTGTTGTGAGTAAGAGCACAGAAGAATGCTGAAGGGATTTAAGCAGTGGAGTAAGTTTGTCTAATTTATGTATTTAAAGCACTTCCCTGGTACTACTTAGAGACTAGGTTGAAGAAGAACAGTGGAGAATATGGAGAGACCAGTTAGAGTGTTCCAGCAAATAGCCCAGGCAAGAGGTAATGGGGATTTGGTTGTCCTGATTAAAGAAAAGTTGATGGATTTGAGATATCCAGTATTTGTTGCTTATTTTATGATTGATGTGATCAAGGACACGCATCTAAGCAGTACGTGGGACATACCTTGACTAGAAGAGTGCGTCTGCCTGCACGTTTTGCTAACATTTATGTTTGCGTTCCATTGCTTGGTGTTCTAAGCGCCACGCAGGGCACTTTCCCCCAGGGCGTGAGCTCCCAAAGAACCTGGCTCTTTGCTGGACTCTCGATGGGCAGTAGTGATAAGGACGATGAGGCAGGTTTAACAATCTTACTTTTGTTTCCCAGGCTCCCCACTTGAGAAGCTGGTATCTAGTGTATCAGACCTGCCAAAACGCCTCGCCTCCCGGAAGCGTATGTCCCCTGAAGAGTTCACAGAAATAATGGACCAAAGAGAGCAATTCTTCCACAAGGGTAAGAAAAAGGACAGGAAGAGGGGAGGTGAAGGTAATTCATCTCAGATTCCATGCCAGTAGCGGGAGCTAGGGATTCATGAGACATCTAGAATATAGTGAGCTAGGTCAAGACATCTATGAGGTATGATTGGAAGAAGTTTCTTTTGGGTTGAAAGGGATAAGAACTGGGTGGGAAAGCAGAAGGCAGAGTTGGGAAGAGGTAGGAGGAAGCATGTAGCTTCCCAGTATAGACTGTAGCCAACCGTCTGGAACACGACACCAGACAATATAGTCCCATGACAGCCAGAAGTACAGTCTTTGAAAATGCTGTCAGTGCAACTGTTGAAAGAGCCCAGACTTCAGAGCTAAATATCCAAATCTAAACCTGAGCTGTGCCACTTACCAGCTGTTTGTCTTTGGAAAAACAATTGAACTTTTCTCGGTTGTCTCATTTCTAAAATTATACAAGGGATTTCCAAATAGATTTAATGAATTATTGTACACATACAAGTTACCAACAAATATTACTTTCTCCTCCCTTTTGCACCCTTTCTCCACCAAACATAGAAACAAAATATTATCCAAAAAAGCAGCAAATGAAAAGGAAACAAAAGCCCCAGGTAGTACTGAAGAGACCAGACGGTGATTTTAAAACCATGGTAACTATATATTTGCAAGCAAAGCTTGGGGCACATGGTTAGCAGTGTGGTCTGAAAAGGAGAAAAAACATTGGGAATTGGGAATGTTATGGAAAACCTAGACCTAGTAGCCACTGGTCTCATCTGGAACAGGAGGTGTGTTAGAGCAAATTAAAAACAATGAAAATAAAAGTAGGACCTCCAATTTGAACATTAATGGACCAACCACTGAAGTGCTTCAATGAACCAGAGCCAGAGAACTTAAGACTAGGACGGGGTTGTCTATTAGTAAACAGCTCTGAGGTACGCCTCAACCTTGGTAGCACTGCCAAAAGAATGTGGTGAAGATTTCAGTGGAGAAAAGGCATGTTTGCCATAAGAAAATGTTATACTCCTGTAATAAAATTCATAATAGCCAGGCCTTAAGTGCTGGATCCGAGATGGCTGCTTCTCTGGCTCCTCTGCTGGCCCACTGTTCAGTCTCGTATACGATAGGTGACCTGGCTGCCAGCATAGCCAGGAGAGCTTCGCCATGAAGTTGTAGGTATCCCTGTCACTACTTTTTCTTCCCCAAGCCCCTAGAACTCTTTGTGAGTATTGTCTCTTTTTCTCATTCCACAGTGAATTTCTCACCACCTGGTGACACAAACAGCCTTTTCCCGGGTACTTGGTACCTGGAGCGAGTGGACGAGCTGTATCGTCGAAAGTATGCCCGGCGTCCCGTCTAAACAGGGTGAGTAAGAGTTTGCAGTGCTGGTGGCATAAAACCCTGATGTTATCCTCTGGGTAACACATGCGGTCTTGTTACTATAACCAGGCCAGAGAGGGTCATAGCTTCTAAACTGATCAGAGGTAAGGATGCTGGTGGCATAAAACCCTGATGTTATCCTCTGGGTAACACATGTGGTCTTGTTACTATAACCAGGCCAGAGAGGGTCATAGCTTCTAAACTGATCAGAGGTAAGGAGTTTGTTACCATGAGGACCAATTAAAACTCTTGGGGCTCTTTGACTCAGAAACGCAAAAAACGGGGAAGGGGCATGTTCTGAAATCTTGGCTGTGCAAAAAAGAGTCAGAAGTTTTTACTCGATCTGCTCAAGATGGGAAACTCCCCTAGAAGCTTGATAGAAACAAAATTAGCACCCATAAGAGGAAGCAGGCTGTGAACCTGAACCTGTGGAGCTCATTACCCCAAAAGGATGAGATCAGTAACAAAGATGAGTCGCTTCAGAAGAGACACACTAGTGTGTTGGGGACAGATTCATAAGGACACAGGGTCATTGCGAGTTCTGCTAGAGCCAGAAGCCTCAGCTGGTGGGAGCTTCAGGCTAGAAGGCTGCATAGCAATTCTCATGTCATGCATGTTTTTCCCTGAGGAGAAGCAGTGAGGTTTGGGAAGTTAGTGGGGACAGGTGTAAGGAGAAGAGAGTTTAATGGAAGAGGGTTGGGGTGAGAGGAGAAATGGGAGAATTCTTTATGGTACATTTAAAAGGAAAACCAAGTATTGAGGATTAGAATCTTATAGTTTATGGACCTAGATATCTGCCTTCAGTTTACCAAATAGGTAAGATAAGCACGTGGAAAAGTGAGGAGGGATTTCTTTCATATCCCCTGAATCTCGATTAATACAGTCTTTGTGCCTAAATACTTCCTCTATATTTTTCTGTTTTCCCCCATCTTTGGTAGATGAAGGGAGAACAGTAAAAAGGGGTGCCCAGGGCAGGGTATGGAGCAGGCAAAAGAGATGAGAAGTCAATGGATAAAGGAGATACAGATAAAACAGCACAAGAGGAAGCAGAGAAAGTGCAGGTGAGGGAGCCCCCAGTTCATCCCTGACCACTGGAACATTCTCAGTTGCCTGGCTTCCTCGCTAGCTGCTGAAGGGCTATCGCCGGATGTTAGAGGCCAGGAGAGGTGGACAGCTGGCAGGCCAGGGCTGCAGGATGCAGCTGAGAAAGGCAGGCTCAGGAGCGGACTCACGAGACTGTGGTACTGCCAAGGAGTTGGTTCGTTTGAAATACAGTTCTTAAGGGCAGACCAGTGGCAAAGAGAGGGCTGTTGAATGTGTCAAGCTAGTCCAGTCATGAAAAGCAGAGAGAGAGAGAGAGAGAGACACTTGGGAGTTTTCAAGGGAGAATTTCCAAATCAGGCTTCCTACTTCCCATGATCAACAAGCCTCTCACAAGTGCTTAGGCAGCACTGAACCTACAAAGGGAAAAGCTGGGAATCTTGTACTTTTCTCATGCTGATTACTCAATCACGTGAGCAATGAACAAAAATGCATTTTTAGCTGAAATGAAGGTTTTGTGTAAATGCAGCATGCTGTGGAGCTTTACGGGTCTCTGTACTGCCCTAGCTTGCCCAGCCCGCTCTAGTGTCACAGGCAAAGCATGTAACAGGGACTCTGCCCACCCCCGGCCTTGGCTCCTGTAGCACTGAGCACAGGTCTTTCACGTGTCTAGGCAGTGGGAGCACCTCAGACCTCGGGATGCAGTTAGGAGAGCCCCTTTGTACAGCCATGCCTCAGCAAAGAGCAGGTACTGGGGGTCAGATCCCCAGAATGAGACTCATTGAATGTTCTTCTTTTTGTTTCTTTAAGTTCTACAGATCGATGAAGTGGTTCCTGGGAAAAGTACACTAGCAGAGCTTCTGCCCATAAATAGTATTTTAAAAATCCCACTCTTAGTGGCTAAATCAATTTGACACCGTAGCCTCCACAAGCATTGGCCCTGTAAAGGGAGGGGCCGCTCTTAGAGGATCCCTCCTGCCTTTCCCTGCTGTGGTCGCTGAGACCAGCTTATGGCACTACGGACCAGGGGTCCTTTATGAAAGAGCAAGATGGAGTAATGGAGAGGACTCTTCTTGAATCACTGGCCTCCGGAAATATGGCAGATCCATTGTCTCCTTTGAGATCCAGATAAACTTTTCTATCATTTGTTATAACTTTATTATTGTCAAACTTTTGTGCTGTTTTATCTTTCTTTCTTAAGTTTTCCTGTGGATTTTAAAATTTTATATCTTGTCCTAAGCTAATATATGGCAATTAAACAGAGAGAAGGAGGAAATGACTCCTGTATTTCCTGGAACCCAGCACACAAAAAGTGCACCAGCTGACACGCACCTAAATCTGCCAGACCTGTGGGTTACTCATCCCACACTCTCCCTCTCTCCCTTTCCAGTTCTCTTCTGTTTCTGCTGCTTGCTAAGTACTAGCACAGATACAAGGCAAGTTAAGATAGTGAAACCTAGCTTCCCTCCAGCCTACTTCCCCGATCTGAAGACGCCGTGCACAGGGAGAGCCAGCAGGAGCTGCTCATCAAACCTCCTGGATCATACCTTGCCAGTGTTACCTGGACAAATGACACAGGGGCAGAAGTTAACAGGTTAAATTTTTACCTCCTCCAGACCCCCCTGCGCCCCAAAATGATACCTAGTAGCTAGCAGGAAATTTTTCCATTAGAGGATTTTCCCCCCTTGGATTAGGACACTGCTTTTTCCAGCATCCTCTTATAAGAAAGCAGCGGTTCAGGCCGGCCCGGTGGCGCACTGGATAGTGCGCCGCTTGGGAAGCGCGGTGGCGCTCCTGCCCGAGGGTTCGGATCCCACATACAGACCGGTTCCCGCTCACTGGCTGAGCGAGGCATGGGGGCGACGCTGAGGGTTGCAATCCCGTTGCCGGTCCCCGGCCCGGTGCGGGGGCAACACTGAGGGTTGCAGAGATGAGAGAGGGTCATCTTCAGAGCACCCACACCCAGGCCATTTGCCCATCCCAGTCTCCCTCCACACCCCCTACTCTCCGGTCACCAAAACCAAGTCCCAGGGCTGCTGTGGATGCCCTCTGGTGGCTCTTCAGGACAATGACAACACAAAGATGCAGGGAGTTTGGGGTAGGCGCTTTATTAGATGGTTATGCTGTACTGCAGGGTTAGACGAGTCTGTGTCCAGCCCCAGGAATGTGGCTCTCCTCTCCCTCTTGATCACAGTGGGCAGGTTTCTTCACAAAAGCCCCAGAGGCTGGGACCAGTGAGCCCCAGGGTTAGAACTGGAACTGGAAGGCCTCGTTCACATGCTGCTTCCATGCTTCCAGGTTGGGCAGCAGGGAGGAGATGCCCATAACGTGCCAGGTCTCCCCATCTGACACCAGTGAGGTCTGGTAGGACAGCAGCCGCACACCTGCCTCTGCCAGGAGGCCTGCAAGCAGAAGAAACCCCCGGTTGGCATAGGGCATGGGGAGGAGGGGTGAGCAGCTGGGAGCAGAGTCGGAAGTCCTGGGCTTCTGTGATAAAGTTGCAATGCGGGAACAATGGCCTTGGAATCAGAGCTGAGATTAAGGGAACAGCAGGGCCATGAAGAGCTATAAGTAGCTCTTGACTTTTGCTGATTGCCAGTTTCATTCAGGCCAACAGCAAGGGAGAAAAGCAGGGGAAAGTGCCCTGGGCAACTAACAAAGGTGGTGAAATTAGGCCCTTCGGGGTCTGGGGACACACCATCTGCCATACCAGGATGTGTTCCAAAACCCCAGCAGCTTAGGCCCCAGGGAACTGGGGCAGGGCCAAGACACCCACGACCAATGGAGGGGATGTCCTGGCAGGCTCTGTGGCAGCCAGGCTGGCCACCAGGGCCTGTGGGCAGGGAGAAGGAAACCTGCCCTCAGTGGCCCTGAGCTCCTGGGGAACAACTCTGTGGTCCAGTCCACTTAACATGGTGGGTTAGTGATAGAGGCTCTGGTCCCACCCCTGCCTCAATGCTCTGTGACCTTAGATAAGGCATCTCTCAGTGGCCCTGAGCTCCTGGGGAACAACTCTGTGGTCCAGTCCACTTAACATGGTGGGTAGTGATAGAGGCTCTGGTCCCACCCCTGCCTCAATGCTCTGTGACCTTAGATAAGGCATCTTCCCTCTCTGAACCCAGTATTCACCCCCTGAACATTCTGGAAACAGGAATGACAGATCCTTGGTATGGTGCAGACCCAGAGATGCCCTGAGAATTTGAGAGGGGCTGAAGGAGGCAGGAGGTCTACAGGGCCTAATCCCAGGGCAGATCCCACCCTGCAACAAGGGCACTGGCCAGCCCTCCAGGGCCCTACTCACCAAGCATGGTAGGCAGCATTGCAGGGTTGGAGGGCTGAGCCCGAAACATGAGCAGGGGCAGGCCCCTGCGGAGAGGCACTTCTGGCGTGAAGACAGCTCCATTGAGCGCCTGCAGCACAGGCGTGGTGCCCTGGACTGAGCCCACAGCCTGGTAGGGGGCGCCTTCCAGGGCCACGGTCAGAAAGCATTCCCCGCAGCCCTGCTCCTCTGTTGTGGCAGGGCTGTGGGAGGCAGTGACCTGCACAGAGAAGGCCAGAAAGAGCAGTCACTCCTCCTGGCATCCTGCCCACCCTCGCTCTTGGCCTCACCACCCATTTGTAGGCTCCAATCTGGCCAGTAGGCTCAGCAACTCAGGGCCAGGGGGAGAGGGCAAATGGGCTAAGCCTAGTGCCCCTGAACATCAGCTTCCTGGGACCATCAGTGATATCCCTAACGGGGAGCAAAGGGAGATCTGCCAGGCACAGGTGATGGCTTGGAGGGGAGGCTGGGGTTTGGGGAGAGGGAGGGAGGGTTCAGTGCTGGGGGGGGTCTCAGCTGACCCTCCTCCTCTGACACACTGCTTCTGTGGCCTCACTGGGGTGCGGGTGTAGGGGGAGGGTGGGGACATGGCAGCTTTATGCCTCTTCTGCCAGCGCTCCCAGCTGAGAAACACAGACTATGATCTAGAAAGGGAGCCAGAGGGGCAGCCACCCAAGGGAAGCCATGAGAGTCAGCAGAGGATGTGCTACCTGCTCCAGAGCTGGCAGGCTAATCAAGAACTTGGGTGCTGTGGTACAAGGAGCACTAGATAGAGGGCTGGAGGCCGCACGCTGGGCCACCCCCAAGCCCCCCAATCAATGCAGCCTGTGAGATGAGGGTATGGCTACCACTCCCCATTCAGAACACTTATGCACAAAGTGTCTTCATGAGCCAGGCTTGGAGGTAGGCAGTATCTCCACTTTGCAGATGAAGACATTATAGCTGCCTCTCACAGGCAGACAGGGTCAATGGCAGAACTTGCACCCAGGACTTTGCCCAATGAGTAGGATTGTTAAATGGCCTCTGGAAATGTGGGGGCAGAGCAGTGCTGACAGAGGGTATGGGGATGGGGGGCGCACATCAAGGCCAGCTTCTTTCACCAGCAGCTTGGCGTTCACCAAGTTCACATCCGCCTGCTTGGAAGCTTCTTTCAGGAGGCCCACAATGACTGCAGGGCCTAGGCAGTTTCCAGCATTCCTCAAGGCTGTTCCTGGCACAGAGAGCAACCACCATAAGGTCCCCGTTTGCTGAGCACTGCACAAGGGAGCAGGGGGTCACTGGCCCTAGCTCTGGGCTATGAGATCCTTGCTGTCCTGGGGACCCCATCCGCAGTCTGCAGTTCCTGGGCAGCTCCACTTCTCCTCCAGAGGGCTCAGAGCCAGCCAGGGAGCCCAGGACACTTTAGCCAGCCTGAGAAACTCCTCTTCAAAACTCTGCCCTACTCCACTGGCCACCCTGGCCTGCCTGTCATTCTCCCAGGGACGCTTAGAAAATTCCCCACTCCCACCCCTACCTGGCGAGGGTCTGAGTACCCTTGCCGGCCGCAGGAAGTGAAAGCAGAAAGGAGCAACTGAAGCAGCAGCTGCCCGGTCCCCTGCCTGGTTTCCTCCGGGGCCTGGGCACCCGGGCCAGTGGGGCTCTGTCCTTCTTGGTATTGTCAGTGCTCGGGGCTTAACCACTTTACCCCGCAATCTCTCCCTGGCAGTCAGTGGGGGAGGACAAGCCTCTACAGGGTGGTCACTCAGCCATGGCTGCCTGGTGTTGCATCTACTACAAAGGCGGCCAGAGCCTGCTCAGCAGCCCAAGGAGTGGACAGAGGGCTCTGCCCCCATTCCCACTCCATGGCTGAGCACACACCCCCGAGGACTGTAAGATTTGCCCATGAACCCACCTTGGTGTGTCACAGAGCACCCAATTTCCCCACTGCCTCATCCAGCGCATCCACCCCCTGATGCTCACTTTGTGTGAAGAAGAGAAAGTCATGCAGCAGGTAAGTGACAATGTCAAAGCCAAAATCAAACATCCTGTTACTTAATTTGGGACTCCCTCCACCCATTCTACGGCTCTTGCATGAAACTCCATCTCCTGTGGAGGTCTCTCTTGCACCCAAAACATGTACATCTTAAAAATACCGCATAAGCATGAATTATGAAAATCACCCCCACCCTCAGCAGTAAGTGAGCTATATTCAGAGCAGCATCCAAGTCACCTCTAAGTCTCTCACTAGCTCTGTGACCTGCAGCAGACACACCCAGCGGGAGAAAAGCCCATGCCCCTCTGTTCCCCTCCCTCTGCAGTGTCCCTAGCTCATCCTCCACCACAACCAAGATCCAGGCTCACCCTGTGTTACCACCTGGATGGTCCCCTTGGGAGATCCAGCCCAGGCTCGCATCAGTGTCCCCAGAGCTTCTGCCAGACCAATCCAAGGCTTAGTGTGTGGAGAGAAGGCACTGGTAAGGGCCTGGGCGTTCACCTGCAGAGAGAAAGTGGAGTAGGTCTGAGGTCAGGAAGAGGCAGGCCAGGCACACACCTGCCCGACTCAGATATTGTTGTGGAGACCCAGCTCCACATAGAGAGAAGGCATAGGGCCACCCATGCTTTGATGCCAGTTGGGTGACAACTTCCATCAGCCACCAACAAGACAATGACTTGTTCCTACAGATGAGGAGAGCCAGAGAGCCAGAAATGGACACAAAAGGCTAAAACCACTCAAAATTGCTAGAGGGGGGAAAAAAGTGGCCTTTCTCACCTCCTTGAATTGTGTCGGCCCTGGCACCCTCCATGGGAGACTTGGATTTTCTCTGCTGGGAAGGGTTTGGATAGCACAATACAAGGAGGTCTTTGACATAAAAAACATAGGGAGTCACAGATAATTGGATATAGAGTAGGGTGGCAGAATTTGTCTTCATTTTTTATTTTTTTTTCTCTGCTGGGAAGGGTTTGGATAGCACAATACAAGGAGGTCTTTGACATAAAAAACACAGGGAGTCACAGATAATTGGATATAGAGTAGGGTGGCAGAATTTGTCTTCATTTTTTATTTTCTATCTTGTTTTTTTTTAAAGTGAGTGTTTACATTGTCACTAACCACTATGATCAATGATCACAATTTATAAAGCTGGATTCACATACTTTTGATGATCTTAGCTGAAGTCCGCCACTAGGCACACTGGGAAGCTGAGGGGGCAGAAGCCACGTATCCTCCTAAAGCTTTGACTCTAGGGTCTGGCTGGCTGGGCCCCCTCCCAGGGGCCCGATAACAAAGCCAGCTTGTTCTGGGCCAAAGTTTCTATTCTGTTTTGTGCTTCAACATGCTCTGGTTCTAAGTTAGGTATCTGGCCACTTTTAGTGAGGGAACTTTTAAAGAGAACCATCTAAGAAGGATTTAATTAGAAACCTGGGGTTTGATGCAAATCCAACAGGCACATTCAAGAAGTAATTAAAAGAAAACAGATTTTCTATTTGTTTTCAGAAAGATGTCATTGGAAAAATATTTAGAGAGGAAGAGAATCGCGGTGTTGCAAGTGATCGCTGAGGCAGGGCTTCACAGGAGTCCCTCTGTGTGGGAGGTGACCCAGCGAGGCCCTCTTGCCGCACCGCCTCCCTTTCTCCTCTCCAAGGGGACACAGAAAGGAAGAGCAGTGGGCCAGGAGGTGGAACCAGAGAACGACCAGCTGCTGGGAGGAGTGCCAGAGCGACAGCTGCTGGGCTGAACCTGCTCAGTGAGGAAGGCCCAGACGGCAGTCGCCTGTTTCTCTGTCCTCTGCGTGGGGCCCGCAGAGCCCAACCCTGCGAGGTGCTCTCCACAGGTCTGCCAAATAAAAACAAGGTTCTCTGTCTGCACTAGAAGACAGGTGGGAGGACGGCAGGGACGAGTCAGGTGCTTCTGGACACCAACCCGACCCTGATGTTATCTCGTGTCCCATGTAAGAACAGAATTGAAGTAGAAAAGAATTAAGGACAGAGATTCCGTACATGATAGAAATGTCTTTCTTTCCAAAGGCCTCCTTGAAGGCTATCAGCGCTTTGGATGAGTGGACACCAACCTGACCCTGATGTTATCTCGTGTCCCATGTAAGAACAGAATTGAAGTAGAAAAGAATTAAGGACAGAGATTCCCTACATGATAGAAATGTCTTTCTTTCCAAAGGCCTCCTTGAAGGCTATCAGCGCTTTGGATGAAGAGTAAAATTTGCCCAAGTTTAACTATTTTAATCAAGAGTTTTTACCTCCTAAGTAAGATGGGGACATTTTGTGGTCCTATTTGATGGAAGCTGTGTTAAGGAGTCCCCTTCAGGAGAAACCCTGGAATGCCACCTAATGACAATGTGAATAAATTGCAGAAACCTGCCTTCAGCAGGGGCTGAAAATATGGAGCAGCCCAGATGGATTGGCAGCGGTCACGGGCCCAACCTCAGCTCGAGTCACCGCCAGCACCGCCTGAGAGGAATGAACCTGCTCGGAAGCCTGGCAGGCACAAGACAAGTGAGAAAGTGTGCTCTGTCCTGAGCAGCCAACACAACACAGAGAGGACAGGGGACACGGACAGATCCTGCGGCCACTGCCATGCTCTCCAGGCCCTCCCGCATGTGGCCCCTGTGACAGCTGGCCCTGAGGAGCCCTGACTCCCAGCCCTAGTAGGGGGTGCTGGGCAGCAGTGGTACCCTGAGCTTTCTCAGGATGAGAGGGCAGGGCAGCTTGGAGAGCTGGGATACCAAACCAGAGGTGGGAGGCTGAACAAACATCCTGCCTTTCTCCTGCGAAAGTTCTGCCCTTGCCAGCGAAAACCTCTCCTCCCCAAACCCATTCACTGACTCCTTTACAATATTGACTACATATTGTAGGCTCACCCACATGAGCTGCAGAGAAGCTTAAATCATGGTTTTTTATCCTCAGAGACCTTAGAATTTAGATTAAGAAGAAAAAGATATAAACTCGTGGAACCTTAATAACAGGAGAGAATGTGGTTAAGTAGTCCAAGAATTGAGAAGGAGCTGGAAGGACCATGCAAGTCTTGGTAGACGAGGTGGTGTGCCCCTTGAAGGAGAGCTATGCCCTCCTTTTTAATCTCTGTCCCCAAGGGCTGTGACAGTACCTGGCACCCACTGGAACTTCAGGAATATCCGAAGACAGAACGAACGAGACAGGACTTGAAGTGTAAGCCAGGTTAGGCATGCAGGAGAAACATGCCAGGCAGGGCCCGGTGTGGGCAAAGACAAGTAGGGGTGTTCTGCCATGAATTGGGGAAAGCAAGGGGCCCGGCTGGCATGGAGGATTCATATCGGGAGGCGGGGAGAGCAGGCTGAGTGGGGCTAAGATGGACACGATGGAAAGGGTGCTCTGGGTGCTTAGGAGGGGCAAGCTCCCTACAGGGCCTTTCTACACAGGCAGTCCCCACCCCGGCCCACCCCCCACATCCAGTATTGTCAAGTAGCTCTCCTCCATTCCCAAACCATGGGGAGAACAAAAGAGCCTTTCTCTAGAGGCTAGGCCCTGGGAAGGGCCACAATCTCTGCGGCAAGGCCACAGTGTAGCAGGACTGAGCTGCTGCCAAGGCCTCAGCTATCAGGGCTGGAGATAAGGCAGCTCCTGCCAACCCCCCCATCCCCAGAGGGCCAACTCCTGCGCATTCCCTTATCTTCAGCTCCTGGACCCAATCCACTCCCCAGAGCCGTCACCATCCCCACAGATGCCCTCCAGCTTTCCTCCCTCTGGCTCTGGTCCCCAGCCCCATGTAGTGATACTTACAACCCCCGCTAGAGATTTCCCCTTCACCATGTCCACAAACTGGACAGCGACTTCCTCCCCGCAGCGACTCTGGGCCTCCCTGGTGCTGGCGCCCAGGTGGGGGCAGCTGATGACGTTCTCATGGTCCACTAAGGCTCGGTCCCGAGGTGGCTCCTGTCCAGAAAGAAACACCTCTAGGCTGGCTGCTGTGGACTGACCATACCCTAGGGCTGCCCCAGGGCATGAGTGGAGGAAGGCAGGAGTGATGCCACCTTCGACTTCTGTTTTGTCACAGTGGTCATTAGACTCAATAATCAGCTTCCTCATGAATGCTCCATTCCAGCAGAGTGGACAGAGCAGATCACAGAAACTGTGGACCAGATTCAAACCTCACCTCCACCTCTTACCACCTAGGTGCCTCAGGCAAACCTCAATCTCTAAGCCTCAGTTTCCTTATCTGTGAAATGGGTTAACACTATCTACCACAACATTATCGTGGGGATTACACACCTTCAACACAGGAGGCTCTCAACCAGGGGCAGCTGTTATTGTTATTGTTTTTTTCCCGTGAAACTCACTCCCTCTCCCCATCCATGCAGCACTTGCTGTTGCTGTGCCTTGCTGGGCTCCTAGCAGTGTCCTGCTCTCTGCAGGCATGCCACACAGGTATCTGCATCCTGGCTCTCAGCAGGACAGGCTGCCCCTGTGGCACCTCCAGCCCACCCTCCTGTGTCTCTTCCATGCCTCCTACTCCCTGAGCAGAACATTGCCCTTGGGAAGATGACCTAGGCTTCTTCTCTTCTGGCCATTCTCCCTGGGGCTCTGTTGGTCCCACTGAATTTTGAGCACGTAACCCTGTGCATTCTGGCCACATAGTAGCAAGTGGCACAAGAATGCTGAAGAGGCCAGAAGGCGCTGTGTTGGTGGGGCTCTGTTGGTCCCACTGAATTTTGAGCATGTAACCCTGTGCGTTCTGGCCACATAGTAGCAAGTGGCACAAGAATGCTGAAGAGGCCAGAAGGCGCTGTGTTGGGGAGGAGAGTAATACAAAGAAGGGCAAGGCACGCCCCTGCCTCAAGGAGCTCATGGTCGAGTTAGAAAGACCACCAGGAGTGCAAACCAAAATGCACCGTGTGCCCTGGGCCGGAACCGACAATGAGTTGTTTCAGGGGCTCAGAGAGGACCCGTGACTCGCCAAGGCCACCCAGGAACCTGCAAACCACAAC